ACATTTCACATGCAAGTAAAGGACATCCAGTCACAATATCAGAACTCTCTACAAGCAGTTATGAAGTTTCGATGTTTGGGTGAAACAAACCTCCCCATAATAGCTAGACTCTTGGTATTGAAGTTACTAGCTCAGTCTCCATCATGTCCACAATAAATTGCAAGTAAATTTAGGCTATTTTCACCTTAAGGATAGGCTTTAGAAACTGAGACTTACAATGTATGGGAACTCTTAACACATTTGATGGTTTTGTAGTCCTGGAATCACCAAATGTATTCAACACATGTACATTGCAAAAGAGTCAAAATAATCACAATAATTATTATTACAAAGTAGTTACCATTTGCATTGACTGCAATTGGAGCAACGCCTGTAGATGCCTCAGATGTTACGCTCACATGATCTACAAAACATCAACCATTATTCAACCAAGCTCATCCAAAATTAAAAATGTTGAAAATAAGCAAATCAGCTGATTCAACTTGTATTTACTTGGTTTCATTTGGCTTTCATGCAGTTTTTACAAGTTTTTCACAAGGATGCACTCTAACAAGAATTGAAGGAAGCCCAGTGTTATGAACCTGTGAAATCTGGTGTGCCCAGCATATGATGTCTATGAAAACACTAAGGACCAATTATTTAAACAGAGTTTAGCCGGTGTTAAACAAAACTTCATTCTAAGCCATTTTCAGTTTGCCCAACGTTTTTATCTAAAGACCATTTTTCATGAACAATTTGAATAAAAAATATAGTGCAGTCTGGAAAAGCACTTACTTTCTTAAATTAACCCCTTAAGAAGAAGACCTGGAGGTCCAATAACTTCTTAAACGGCAGCCTAAGTTAGACTTCGTTTAAATAACTGACTCTAAGATTTTCTAGTTGTCCAGAAGGAAAAGCTCAGCGCCAGGGGCCACCATGCACTGCTTAAGCACTGCCCTCTCTCAGCTAAGTAAAGTTTTTATTCAATGAACACTGCTGTAAACTTGCCATAAGCTTTGATCTGAACTATATTTGCATGCACTTCCCACCTTGAATAGCTTGATAGTGGCAGAGAGTGCTCATTGTCAAAAAAATGGTCATACCATTTTAGCTTTGTTGTTGTTGAATCAACTAATATGGCATTAAACACTCAACAGTGAAAGATTAGACTTATATTAACAACTGTGTTATAAAGTTCTCTACGGATATCAGTACAGGCTGCACAGTTTGAACACTTGTCCCCAGACGTTTTGACAGGAGCACCAATCCCCTAAATCCAATACAACCCCCTCCCCCACCCACACCAAACTACAGAAGGCCATGAGATTTATGGAGATGACAGTGCCCAACTTCAGATTAAATGGTGTCAAGAAATGTCCCATTTTTATCATCGGCAATAAAAATAACAACTGTATAAATCAGTAGAAAGGCTCAACTGTACAATGTAGCTCATACCTGTATTAACTCCATTTTGTTTAAAATTTTCAATGTATCGCTCTCCAAAGGAATCATTACCTACCTAAAAGATATAATTACTGCCATTTTTATAGTCTGAGAAAACAACCAACATTTTGTGATGCCACCATTGGTTTCCCTATGAAATGATGTCTGAGACATGACCACAGGAATTCCATACTGATGATGCGTGACTACCTAGATCTGAGTAGAGTTTCTGATTGGTCATGCCACATGGGGACATTTGTTTCAGCCAATCAGAAGCAATACCCACGTAGTAATGAAGCATCATCAGTATGGAATTTCTGTGCACAATTCTCAGATGTAATTTCACACGGAAACCATTTGTTGCATCATAAAATGTAAGCTATTTTCTCAGGCAAACTTTATAACCCGTTGAATAAAGTTGAATAATGGTATTTACACTGTAGATAAGCTTGACAAATTTAAAACCCTTTTTTCCCCAGACTCAATCAGGGATTGAAAAGAGTCCAGTCAGATTGTCCAGGATAGGTAGATGTTCCTGCGATGCAAATAAGGTGTGGATCATGTGTAAAATGCAATGCAAGGAAATTAATACTCATGTCAACTTAAATTCAACAAGGAAGTTATACAAGAAAAACAGTTGCACACCTGAAGAAAAGAAAATGCATGCAATGTAGGCCAGCAAATGTGTAATTTCCTGGTCAATTAGTAGTTTTACAATCAGCATTTTGTTCCAGATATTCCACAATTAAATAAAAAACTACTTAAATGACCAAAAATGGACCAAAAAAACCACGAAGGAGGAAATGTTTAATTCACTACTCATTTAAATTGAGTTACATAACCATGTCGACTTTTCCCATAATTATTATTAATCCTTATATTGAACTACTGCTTGACTGACCCTAGCCTGCATCACAGAATTTTTCAAACCCTGGCTTGTAGCGATCTGCAAAGCAGCACCCATGAGATCCTTGTTCTAGGCCCAATACAGTCTCAACAAATAAGAGGAAGTGCTTTTTGAATTTCCTTTCAACCTGGCTGACAAATCCACAAAGGCTCTTTTAAATTTGGTTAAATGTAATTTAACTAAGTTAACCACCACGAGCTTGGCAGTCAAGCGGTCCACGAGCTTAGCGGGCATCCAGCAGTCAATCTCATAAGTGCAGGCTCACATGGTGCGTGGTAGCTATGTAAATTGCTAGGAACTGCAAGCTGAGCATTTGTGCAGTGGTCTGTGGAGTGGTTCATTTAGCATCTTCCCCCCCTCCCATCCCTTATTTTTCTTCCTTTCACTGTTTCATCAGTGTGACGGGTACTTGGAATGGGGGCTCATGGCTGGATTGAGGGTATTTGCCAGCCATGGGGGCAGTATGCTATCCAGGAGTTGGCTGGCCACAGTGGAAGCCCCTAGGTATCCCAGGCACCAACCTTCCACTTAAGCGAGGCAGTTGGTTAACTGGCCAATCATGGCGCGTACTCAAATTCTGATACACAGGTGGGGACCCAGAACAANAAATTGCTAGGAACTGCAAGCTGAGCATTTGTGCAGTGGTCTGTGGAGTGGTTCATTTAGCATCTTCCCCCCCTCCCATCCCTTATTTTTCTTCCTTTCACTGTTTCATCAGTGTGACGGGTACTTGGAATGGGGGCTCATGGCTGGATTGAGGGTATTTGCCAGCCATGGGGGCAGTATGCTATCCAGGAGTTGGCTGGCCACAGTGGAAGCCCCTAGGTATCCCAGGCACCAACCTTCCACTTAAGCGAGGCAGTTGGTTAACTGGCCAATCATGGCGCGTACTCAAATTCTGATACACAGGTGGGGACCCAGAACAAAGATTTCAGCTCTGTTTTGCAGATGGACTTACCAGAGTTAAATGCCATCTGTTGCGCAGGCTAGATTGACCCACTATAAAAAATAATGCATTTTGAGCTTGTGCCACTCGTGGTTTGAACAGTGGTCAATTCTAGATATAAAACAAACGTGGGAAATTGACTTGCAATGACCAACTGAACCACAACAACATCTAAGGAAATTTACATTAATGTAATCAGACATCATTATCTATAATTTTACTGACTCAAATAAAAACCTGTCTCTGAAGGGAAGAAATGTTTCATTGCCTTTTAACTGTTAACTATATTGCCTATTTCATGGCACTCCACAAAAGAACAAAGTCATGACTGTTAATATGTTGAACATGAAATTTGTGTATAGAAAATGTACAACGCATTTTACATCTGTATCAAGGTATACCCAAATAACAGCTGTTTTCAAAAACAGAAATTAGCATTTGAATAAATTAATTAAAACAGATTTAAAAATTAACAGCACCTTTGGGAAATATTTAAATCTAAATGGCAATAACCTGAACAGCTTTATTAGAAAACAAAAGCGTTTAAAAAGGAATCTTTGTGATAAAGAGATTTACTTTGTTCAGCATAAGTTTATGCAAAATGCTACAAACCGAAAATGAGAATCCGATTTTCTCACAATTTTGCTAAACTTGAACCTCAATATTTGAAGATCACTTCAGTGTCTGGACACAAGTGAAGAAGCAAACATTGAAATTGTTCACATAAGAAGTTAATTCGCTCAATTAAATTTCCACAAAAGTAAAATTTTATCAGATTTGCAATCGACGGCAAAATGAAACCAAGAATGAAATATGTCTACGCTTGCCGCATTTAATTTTTTTAGTCCATTCTTTTTCTACAAAGAACCACATCCGTGTCAACATTGACAATGAGCTTTACAATTTCTTTTTCCTGTTGAAGTATGTGGACCGTTTCATATTGTTCGGTCTAGTATAAGCTTTAATACATAACTGATTTTAAGGTCAAAAACCCTTAAGCTTCCATTTTTTTTTTTAATGTTCAATAAAACAAAGTGATTATATCTTCAGACCCCTTTTTTTCGAGGAAAACAAAATCACTATAAAAAAACCGATATCAGCGATACTAAGCACAATATTATGGCAGATTTAAGCTTAATTTAGACGTTCGAGTCACCCGGCAAAGTTACTGTGTTTAATTCACACCACCTGCAGTCTTCCACATGCTACTACCTCGACTGTTCTGGAACAAACAAATACCTCGCTGTCCTTGACAAGCTTACTTACTTTCGCAACCATAGCGGTTTTAGCCCCAAGTCTTGCAGCCATTACGCACTGGTTAGCCCCTTTGCCACCAAATCCCATTGAGAATTTCGTTCCATGAATGGTTTCACCCGCTCTGGGGAGACGTGGAACATAGCTGGAGATGTGAAGAAAAACAACATCTTTAGACAGAAAGGTTTCACATCAAAATAAAGGGATATGTTTGTCTCGTTGCTTATGCCAACCTCACGAGGTCAGTCATGCAGGATCCGACAACAACGACATCGAATTTTCCACGTTCTCCCGCCATTTTGATTTTGAAGGAAGCCACTAACCGGAAACTGCACAAGTCACATAAGAGATTCACGGGAAACGGGAGAGGGAACAAGGTTATCACTATATTTCGTTCATCGTACATGACGATACTACTGCTTTTTAATCCGCTGACTTATTGTTTGTGGTCGCACGAATTGCCTTGTTTTGCTGGGGGTCGCTGATACTGTGAAGGTTTATTTTCTACTTTTTCGATGAAATGAATAGAAAATAATGCCTTTATTTGACGTTATTGGACTTGGGAGTGAGAAACTTGCCGTTGTTATCGACATCGGAGCAGCCTACACAAAGTAAGATGGTTCTGATATCGCAAAGGTTCCAGTTCAGTGAAGTGTTCAAGGTTTCAAGGAATCAAACCAGAAGTTTACTGTACAGTATTTTGGGTAGAGAATTCATTCCTGGGAGTGGTTTCCCTCTAAACATTTAGAACAGTAAAACATTGCAAAATGGGCCAAAATCAATCACTAAAATATTGCAAAATATTTTTTTCATTTTTGATCGGATTAAATCCCCTTGATAAATTCCCTATAAGTTTGGACATATTTTGATTGAGTAACAAAAAATTTATTAAATTGGGCTTAGTATGACGGGCAGAATAATTATGCAGATCTCAATTCGACTAGGGTGTCATAAACTGAGGCTGACAGCAACTTTGATCTGCATTCTTAGCTTTATGTCATACTTAGCTTTATTCAGTGATTGTTAATTATAAAGATAAGTGCAAAAACATGTAGCATACGTATGTGTTAATATTTGTTTGCCCTTTTTGCATTCCATGGGCAGTGTATTGGTGTTGTGAATAATGTGATCACTAAATGACACCAGTCAAGAGATTCAAAGCACTGCATAGTAACTACGCCACAGAACAATAGTTACCAACAACAGTTTCCCCCAGACACTCCTATTCTATTGTTCTATATACAGTGGAACCTTGATACAACAATGGGTCAAGGGACTGACCAAATGCATTTGCTTTTACAAGGATTTGTTACTTTATATCAAATTGTTTTCATATACTTTACTTTTTCTGGGGCAAAGAATATTCTTTGTTTTGCCTAGGACTTGTTTTATAGGGTTCATTATATATCAAGGTTGCTTTGTAGTTTGTTTTTATTTTACATCATTTTTATATGTGCCTGTCATTTTCGTACACCACATGTAAACTTTGTTGCCTCTCTTTTATTCAGATGTGGTTTTGCCTCTGAGACAAGTCCCCGTCACATCATCCGCAGTGTGCTCACACATACCATAAATGGACAGGTGAGTTTCCATAGAAACACAACCAGTATGCGGCCAATTTCAAATGGTTAGGATGCTAAAGTTAGATACATATCCAGAAGTAGTCAATGGTTATTATTAAAATATGTTCAATGCATTTTATGATAGGTATTTTTCCTTGGGTGATACTTTGTGTTTTCTTGCTCTCGTGGAATACATTTTTTGGTGTTTGCTTAGTATTTTGTGCTGTCCCAGTTGTGGTATTTTCTGGTAACAGTTATTGAAACATGCAAAACACAGTCAAACCCCGTTTACGGACAGCCGCTTAATACGGACACCTCATTATTACAGACAGTTTGCTTTGTCCTTGGGCAAAGAAAGCCCTTAGAATTACATTTTCTCTAAATTCAACCCACTTAATACGGACACTCCATTAGTGTGAATGCTTTCTATGGCCCCCTTAGTGTCCATATTAATGGGGTGTGGCTGTACCTTAGCCAAATGCTTTTTCCTGACTCTTCTTATGTGCTGATATGTGGATTTGTACCCTGAAGTGGTCAAAAACTGAAGTTTGTCTTTCTCAGTGACTGTTGTTGCAAGGACTACTCAACCTCATTCTCAGGATTGTCTCCTACTCGTCCAGCAAGTAGGAGAGAACCCTGGGAGCAAGGTCTATGACTTCTATGATCGCTGCAATCATCGAGAAGTTGATTTGATTCCATATAATCTCTAAGATCAGCCTAAAGTTCCTTGCTCATTGCAGTTATGATAATACTCAGCCAATATAACTCAGGAGTACAGACTACTTGTTAGTATTATTGAGAGAGCTTGGTATGAGTATGTCAATGTACTGCCATCTTCGTACAGTACACTTCACATATTTTTTCATATCTTGTAAGAGTCTGCAGAATAGAGCTCTTTTTATTGGTACCTCTGAAGCTATCTTTTCAACAGATTTAAAAGTTAGAGGTGACCAGTTAGATATTTTTCTGGTGTGTTCGTGTATCAAAATTCACCTCTTAATAAACTGACTTGTGTCTTAAATTTAGACAGAGACAGTTAGTGTTGTGACCAATGAACAAGACAGAAACCCTGATGAATTGTATGCAGTCTTAAGAGACTTTCTCCATCAGATATATTTTCGGTAAGTTACTATTGTAGCCTGACAGTTGCCTTCAGTCAATGCCCCAGACTAGGCACTTCAATTCCAAACAGTAGCTGATGCATGACTGAATGTTATTGTTTTGTCCAGGAAATCAGTCCATAATTGCTGCTTAAATAATGTATGACAATGATAACAGAAAATAAAACTATTAATTAATATTTTTTCAATTAAAAATAAATAAATAAATAAATAAATAAATAAATAATGATTTTGGAGGTAGCACATCCACAAAGTGGTTCTTTGTCTACCTGATTCCTGGTCGAATTGGAATTTGGAAATGTTGGTTTTTTGAGGAGAGGGGAAAACCAGGGTACCCAGAGAAAAACTTCTCGGAGCAAAGAAGAGAGCCAACAACAAGCTCACCCAACATATGGTGTCGACGCCAGGATTTGAACCTGGGCCACATTGGTGGGAGGCGAGTGCTCTGACCATTGCATTATCCCTTGCTCCCCATTGAGCATCATCAGAGCTGTCATCAGCCTTCCAATTTTCAGCCTTTGATTTCTTATAAATAAACTGAATTATAAGATACATGTATTAATAATAATATGAAACAAATTCATGTACAGTGTAACTGTATTGGCTATTTATTAAGTGATTTTTCATTCAATTCCCATCAAATGATTTCTGTGCTTAATTTTTTTTCTCATTCTCTCTTTAGATACCTTCTTGTCAACCCTCGAGACAGAAGGGTTATTATCTGTGAGTCTGTCCTCTGCTCAACACTTTGGAGAAATGCTATCGCCAAAGTTCTTTTCAAGCACTTTGAGGTGAACATGGTTAATCCTTCAATGAAACTTACGGAAAACAAGGCTGTGTGCATTAATTTTATGCTAAAAAATTAATGTACACAAATTATTTAATTCTATGAGTAGCTTGCAATACTAGCATCTTTTGAGAAAAATTCTTAAAGAAAACTTTATAGAAAAAAATAGAGAAAATGTTTTGCTGAATAAATAAATGATAATAAATACTGTCATTATTGTTGTACATGTAGCTTTGAACAAAACAGTACAGATAAAAAATGTGCAATATATATTTGAGGACTTTATTGGTTAATTTTGAAGCCCTAGTTTATAGTCTGTGCTTTTTCTGTCCATTCACCAGGTACCTTCGGTTTTGTTTGCACCTCATCATCTGTTAGCTCTGTTCACCCTTGGTGTACCATCAGGTCTTATTATGGACTGTGGCTTTACAGAGACCGTAGTCTTACCAATATCCTTTTATGATAGACAAATAGACGGTGTCATCAATATGGTAGCAATACACCATACATACTGCAAGCACATCTTTTAACCATAGTTTTGACCATCGGAAGTCAGAGAATATAGCCTGTTCCAGGCGTTCAGATGGTGGGGAGCGAGTTAAATCGTATGCAGCGAGCGCAAAAAGAAACACAAGGGAAAAAAACGAGGGGAGACTTTTGCCGCCCTATTTTTTCCCTCGTCAAGTTTTCACCCACGCCCAACTAATTTTTCGCTTCTGCCACTCCTTCTGAATGCCTGGAACAGGCTACAGAGAATACAATATTTTAGCCATAGTTTGATAAATTAAGCCCATCTTCACAGGAGTATACATGTATTACAATAGCCTGTTACAGGCATTCAGGTAGTTAGCACAAAGTAAAGATAGCAAGGAAAAGTAGTGGGGAGGTTGGGGTGAGCAGTGAGGTTCCCTCTTCTTTCTCCCCCTCCCCCGTTTTCATTTTTTCGCGCCCCTTTTTAATTTATGCTGCTCCCAACTATCCATGGAACAGGCTAGTACGTATTACAATAAAATCATCCATGAAGTCATTGACATCATGGAATGTTTGTTGTTTCAAGACCATTCACAATAAAGAACAGAAAATAAAAAAAATTGAGGCATACACAAAATTGATAAATTCCCTAAACAATGTCATCTACTAGCTTTCATAATGCTTCTACCCGGTACAGTAATACTTCTGAGCTTTGAGAAGTGCATGTCTTGAGCACGGTCAGATCTGCCTATTATTACCTTTACATGTACTTCTGATTATTGTTTTCTTAACACTCTGCTGCTGTTGGTATTACGTCTTTGAGGGTACTGCTATTCTGAAAGCTGTGCAAACCATTCCCCTTGGATCGAAAGCTATTCACAAGTAAGATTATTAATCCAGGACAGTATGTGAGTGGTTTTTAATGTTTAGCAAGAATTAAATCATTCTGTTAATACTGCTCTTTTCTAAAACACTCAATTCTGAAGTTCAAAACCCAACTAATGTTTGCGTTTTCCACTGCCATCAATCATCTTAGCAGACCTCTTAGGAAACATAATTATGTTTTTTTGAACAAGTTCGAAAGGTCTTGGTTTCTGATTTGTGATTGGTGGATTTCAATCTGCTCTGTATGTTTCTGTCTTTCAAAGTTCATTGCTTGTGATTGCAATAAAATGATTGACACCAGCAAAAAACAGAAAAGTAAGCTGGCTTTTAAATTTAGAATTTACGTGTTATTGAAAAGCACAGTAATGAAACCAACTAAGATACCCATTGATAGCATTTTATTGTGTGATGTGGATAATCACATAATAGTAGAACAAAGATTAATGGTTCACTATGCTTATTTGTCAGGCATCTAGAAGAGCAGCTCATGGAAAGAAGCCTTGTTCAAATAGAAACAGGAGTAAAACCTTTGTCATCAGTAGTGAGTGAGTGCAAAGCTGTTGTTGAAGTGTTGACCTTCTGATAGAACATTTAATGGTGCTAAGTAAGGTTTAAAAGCTAGGCATCAAGTTGGACATGAGAACATTATTTAAGTTTAGCGCAAGGAAAAAAAAATTAAGTTAACCACTCTACAATAGTAATTGTGTTAATTCAGAAATTTTTAAGACACTGAATATGCAGAAGAAACGTTGATTTGTTTGATGCAGATCTGTAGACAAAATACCACACTTCTGATCTTTACTGTTTTAAATTTTTTGCAGACTCTCTTGGAAATGAAACTTTAGAAGACATAAAAGGTGAGATTATTTAACTTTCATTTAATTTATCACAATTGAAACCGAAACATCTTTTATGGAGTGCTATTAAAAGGATTTGAATAGTGTGAAACAGGGCTGTCATTAAGAGCCAGGGGCCGGGGATTTTCCCAAGCTATCATGAACGTGGCCCCAGGCTTCTTTCATTGGAAAATGGAAGAAAAGTTGAACCAAAAGAAACCCCTAGCTGTTTGATTCCATGCCTACTTGTTGTGTTTACCCGGCACTTGAAATCTTAGTGACAGCCCTGTACAATCAGCAATCTAAACACATGCACAGCAGCTAGTTCATTAACTCTTATGCTGAGGAGAATTAAAATTTGCGCAAACTACTGACATACTGGAACGCTGCCATTATTTTACATTATTTTACTCTTTTCAGTGCGTACTTGCTTTGTGGCGCCAAAGTTTAGTGGCCCTGAAGGAGAGCCACGCCCAGCTTCTTTGGTTCCAAAAGTTGACTATCCACTAGATGGGGGTAGGATACTTAGGATTGAAGGTCAAATCAGGTAAAAAAAGGAAAGTTATCTTGTTGGTTAATTTTAGAGTGCCACTTTGTGTTAGGGCTCGAAAAAAGTCTTGTCCGGTAGTCCAGGACAAGTAGAGTCTCTTGCTGGGCAATTAACTTTTAAAGCTTACTTAACAATGGGGCAAGGGTACAGGCAAGTCATCCTCTAACGAAATCATTACCACGCCTTTCACAAACTCACAAACTCTAAAGTTCAGAAGCTATCTTCACAATTTCGTTTTTGCTGCTGTCAATCAAAATTATGATCACAAGCAATGAACTTTGAAACACAGAAACACACAAAACGAATTGAAAGCCACCAATCACAAATCCCCAACCATGACCTTTTGAACCCAATAAAGTAAAGTTCTGTCTCCTAAGAGGTCTGCTAAGATGATTGACGGCAGTGGAAAATGCAAATGTCAGGTGGCTTTTGAACTTCAGAATTTGCTTGTTTTTGAAAAGCGCAGTAACTAAGATGAGCAAGAAGAAGGCCCCCAGCAAACAAAATGTGAGAGCTAAGATTTTTTTGAACCCTGTGTGTTAACTGAGTCGCAGAGTTAAGGCTAAAATCTTTTATAAGCTGTAGATTTTTATGCATTTCCAAATATGAAAACTCAGGGTTTGCAAATACGCCAAATTTGGCGTATTTTACGCCAAAATTGTTCAGATGACTCCACTGAGGTTACGGAGGGAGTCACTTCGACTCCAGAAATTTTCGGTAACAAACAGGGAGCCTGAAGCTGAGGTCTTTAAAAGCCATTGTTTGTGTCAAAACAGGAATAGAAAAAGCGTTGTTTATGTTAAATGCAATTAACATTTGCAACATTTGGAATTAATTTAGTAGTTTTAATTTCTTAATATGACGAGGACAAAACAGGAAGAGGGTAAATTACAATCAAAGTTTACTCGAAGACCGCCACCATGGATTTGAGCTTTCCAGGTCAGCGGACTGCCACAGCTACTTTGTGTATCCCTCACGATAGTGTATACATGCCATGACCACGTGCTGGAAAGTCTGAAAATGGCTTTTTTCGTTGTGATACTTGACTCCAAATATTCCAAAATGACTCCAAAATTTGTGAAGCAGGAGTCACAGTGACTCCACTCATCAATAAAATTTGCAAACCCTGAAAACTTTAAATTTGGCTTAACTCTGGGTTAATATTAAAGCGGCTGGGGACACCTTTGGCTCATTGTTATGCATTTTAAAAGTAAAAGGCGTTTGCACAAAGTACAATGACTGCACAGGGGTAAAATTGAACCTCTGCACCCATTATTCCTAAATATGATTGGCAGCTTACCTTTTTGCTTACTTATTTTTTCAGAGAACAGACATTTGACATCCTTTTTGATGGTGATGAAGAAGAAAAATCCCTTGCAACCTGTTTGTTAGATTCCTTACTAAAGGTACAATGTACTTTCCAATCTTGTCAATGCTGCTGGGATAGTTTGCCAAGAGGTTTTAGAAAAGAAAATGACATTTTCCTCCACAATTTAATATACCCACATAGAACAATGTAATTAGTAATTTTTTCTTGTGTGGGGAGATTGAAATTATTTTAATTTGCCAAAATAAACTGTAATGGTAATTTACTGTTTTTCCGTTTTTTTCTTACCTTTTATAGTGTCCTATTGATACAAGAAAACCACTCGCAGAAAACATAGTTCTTATTGGTGGAACTGTAATGACGCCAGGTTTCAAGTGAGTAAAATATATCCCTGCCTTAATCCATTTATAAAATTAATTTAATAAATTATTATTCTTAATATTCATAATTATACAGGGAAAGATGGATCCTTCCACTTTTTTTTCAACCTTTGGCATGGACCAGTTGGCAAAAATCTGTCAACACTGCTACCAAGAGCACCTTAAAACTAGTAGAGGTGCCGAGTCCGAGAGTGATATTTTGACAAATAATGAAGATATACTAACTCGACAAAGTAGCTAATCAAATGAAGAATGATCCTCGCAGTTGTAAATGCAGTTTATGCGATTGCATAAGAAGCCTATACAATTTATTTCATATACATTTGTCACACTCAAGGTGGCTAAATTTTACAGATGTGTGGTGGGAGCACCATACAAAGTTATGTAAATTTTTGTGATTTTGCAAACATGTATCTTTGCACGATTCAAAAGACAAATATATCACTTTCAAACTAGGCAAGTTTATAAGTTATAGGCAAGTTTTTTTTATATCCCCTAATGATAAAATTGGTCCCTATAATTATCAAAACTTGAAAATAACTGTGAAAGGGTTTATTGTTAAACCCCTTGCATTGGGATTTTGATTCATCAGCTTTGAAGTCAGAAATATGCATTTAAATAAAAATGATCATGTGGTATACCAACCAGGACTGCATAAGATGTAGTGCACCAAAATGCAAAGTGCTTAACAAATCTTCTTCTAGGGTAAACTTACTTTATCAACTTACACTTATTTTAGAATTATTATTGTCACATGAGGCCAGTTGTTTGTAGGATCTGTTCAGCTCAGGGAAATTTGCAGTGTTCCTAAACCCCCTAAATCAGTAGATTTATTAACACAATCAACAATGTACAGTCAAATCCTGTTAATACGGACACTGAGGAGGCCATAGAAAGTTTCCGTATTAATAAAGGGGCATCCATATTAAGTGGGTTGAATTTAGGGACAATGTAAGGGCCTTCTTACCCCAGGGACAAAGCAAACTGTCCATATTATGTAACCCTTTAAGCCCCAATGTCCACATATAAATTCTCCCTACTGATCTTCATACCTTTCTTTAAAGAATTAGTTGAGAGAGTTTGTTAACAGATCAAAGCATTTTTTCTTTAGTGATCATTTTATTAACTCTCATAACCATTTCTCTTGGCAACATATGGATATAGTTAGGAGAAAATTGATGTTGGTCACTATTGGGACTCAAAGGGTTAAGCGGGTGTCCATAAAGCAGGGTTTAACTGTAGCTCTAAACTGGTTCTCCTGGTTATTTTCACAGGCATCGTCTCATGCAAGAAATCTACTGTTTACTTCAGTCCCCTCGGTACAAAGAGAATTTGTTTATGAAAACAATAAAAATGCACCAGACGCCCATCAGTGCCAACTGTACTTCATGGCTTGGAGGTGAATAATTTGAATGATTTTCAAACATTAATAAAATTTAGGGCCTGTTTACATGGAGGTGGGGGACCCCAGGTAGGTGAGGTAACCCGCTTAGGTGGGGTAACCCGCCTGTCCATATAATCTCTCATTTTAATTTGATCACGTTTACATGATAGCTGGGGTGACCCGCCAAATGTTACCTCACCTACCTGTGGTCCCCCACCTCCGTGTAAACAAGCCCTAAGAAGATGAATTAAGGCAAATGGTGTTGTGGATGAGAGTACAACGGTTCGTGTCCTTATACATTTCCAGTAGCAGGGCTGTCACTATGGGCAGGGGCATGCTCCCTGGCTGCTATAAGCATGACCCCCAGCTACTTCCATAGCAAACCAAAGGAAATTAATACCTAATGGATATTCCCCGCCTTCTAATTGCATAAAACCCTGCAATTTAGAACCTTTGTGACAGCCTTGCGGTAAGGTCAGCACTCCTGGCTGCAACTATTAGTCAATTTACGAGTTAACTATAATAACCCACCCTACACTGTACTTATGGTATCGGTGAAAAGGTGGTAGTGTTATAGAGGTAGACCACACCACTGGGAAACATCCCCTGTTCTTATGAAAGAGAGTTGTACATGTTCTTTCAATGTATAACATATCTTTTGGGGTTTTGGTGGTTTCTTTAAAATGTGGCAATAAAGGCCGGGGAGGGAAGGTAAGCCAAGGGGATTTTGATAATTTTTAAAGGCAATGGAACAGTTTCCCTTTCCTGGGGATACCCCAGGGAGAAAAGGTTAATGGCTTCTTGTCCCCACCTAACAACATATTAATCTGAACTGAGAAAAGGGTCTTAGTGGTATCGTCACTTCATTTTTAAACTTCCAGGCTCCAGTTGTTCAAAAGGTGGATAGCACTATCCACTGGATAAATCACTATCCAATGGATAACGCAATTGGTTTTTCGTACTACTTAGCCACTGGTTAGTGATTTATCCGGTGGATAGGGCTATCTAACTCTTGAACAACGGAGGCCAGGAGGTAAAATTAGGCACCCGCGTACCCAGCGTGTTTGTTCCCCTTGACCAGCAGTTGGGCCTTTGCAGTACAGGACAAGGACTAGAGGTGTGAGATTGGAAAATTAGGCCTCTGCAATAACAGTTAATTTTCTTTCTGCAGGTGCAATATTTGGTGCTCTGGAGGTCCTAGCAGACCGATCCGTAACTAAAGAGAGATATGCACAGGAGCAAAAGATTCCAGATTGGGCTTCCTGTGAAGTTCAAGCCATGGACAACATCCCTATTTTAGATGAGCGACTTGAAAGACCTGTGCTGTCTCGTCGTCAAACTAGTGGCATTACCAGCACTCTGAGTAGCATAAGCAGCTCATTATCGAGTAGGCTTCTTAGTGGAGGCAGCCGCAGCCCTTTGGGGACAGGTTTACTTCAGAGGTCTTCGGGGTCACCTTCCTCAGGAACTTCTCCAAGTATTAAGGAAAATGAAAAGGAAGGCCAGAAAGAATAGAAATAATGGCTATTGTGATATCAAATTACAAAATTCATGAAAAGGTTGACCCTGGTTTTGATAAACAGTTTCAAAAGAGCTTATTTCAGTACTGAAAAATTCTTCATATTCATCAGGTTCTGATGATGTAAATTATTTAATTATTTAATTGCTACTTAAAGCAGCTGGTCCCTAAAATGCAAAGAGAAACAACACACTGATGTTTACATTAGAAAGCATTTTTACTTTGTAAGTAAAGCCAGTGTCAAACCTTTTTATGTATAAAATAATTATTTTGGTTCTATGAATCCTGTCTGTACATTATACATGTATATGTAAATTTAATGACAGTGGTTATTATGGAATGTAGATGTAGCATAATTGTTGTAACTATAAAATGCTATGGACGAGTCAATAAATTTCTCTCTAGATAGATATAAACTTTGTTGGGACTTTAATGAGAAAGTAAAAAAAATCGGGTTATTTTCGACTTTCCATGGATAAAGCTCATGAGTGCTGGTATGCAGACTTAATAAATTTATAAAAATAGCTTTTAGGATAGCCTGAGAAAACAGCCCACATTTCGAGACCCCACCACTGGTTTCCCGCGAAATGATGTGTGAGGAATGAGCACAAAAATTACATACTAATGATGTTTCACTACCCAGATCTGGGTAGCACCTCTGATTGGGACTTGTGTCGCTAAGGAAATTTGCTTCAACCCATCAGAAGCATTAGCCAGATCTGGGTAGGCACGCTTCATCAGTATAGAGTTTTTACACTCATTTCCCCGACATCATTTTGCAGGGAGACCAGTGGTGTTGTTGAGAAATGTAAGCTGTTTTCCCAGGCTAGTTTGACTACTTCCAAATAATAATATTGTCCACGCTTTCATTTAAGTATTATAGTTTTAAATTTCTTTACTGCATTAAAAGCATTAAATATAGTATGTCTTGCTATCTGAGCTCTGCTTCTATTAACATGCTCTCTAAAAGTATGTTGTTATCATCTTGGATCAGTGGTTCGTGTAGCCATAATGAGAGGTACACCATCAGTTTATCTCTGTTTCTACAGTGAGTAATCTCAGGTACCAGCTTCTCTTTAAGTGAGAGTTCATTACAGTATGAATCAAAAAGTCTTTGTGATGCGTCACCTGGGAAAAAAAACACAGTATCATCACATCAACATAATTAGCCATTTCTGACACGGCTCAAAAGAGTCCTGTCCTGTACTCCAGGGCCCGGTTGTTCGAAGGCCAATTAGTGCTTAACCTGGGTCTCTTTTTCTTATGTTCAAAACCATTTTCTCGGATAATTTTCTCTGTTATTTTTAGAGCTTCCAATCATCAACTTGTGGACAAAGAGAATTAAAACTGAAAGGCTTTTTAAGCTTTCGAATCTGAATTCAAATCTCATGCTAACACTGGGTTATCTTAACCCAGCTTTGAACAACCTCGGCCCAGGACTGGTAGATTCCTGTCCTGTAGTCTGGGACTAGTAGGTTTTCTTGCCGGGCAACTAACTTTCCAAGCTTCGGCCTGGTTCAGACGATGTACTTTTCATCTGCCAAACCTACTTGAATAAGTTTGACTTTGGAGAGACACTAGCGCGACATCTGATTCAGACGGCGCACTGGGTGTCGTGCCCAAGTTAAGTTGGACAAAAGTTTGACAGACTCTGTCAAACTTAACACTTTTACTGTACCAAACTAAAACTGCCATACCAAATTGATTCAGACATCGCTCTTTTGCGGTACTTAATTCATCAGTAAGGTTCGGCATGAGTGGAGCAGGGTCTGAACCGGGCCTTATCTGCATCTTTTCACGAAATAATTAACTACGTCAAGAAAACAATGGTCCCAAGCAAGCAAATGTACGAGCTGCTTGTTCTGGAACAAGCCCTGATTCTTTTTTTAGTCAAGTTGTTTTTGAGCTATGCATTCATTTAATACCTGGACTGTTTTAAAGTGGTTCACCGGGATGGAGTCGTGTAGATTCGAAAATTTGAGGTGATGCCAAAAAGGGAGAGGAAATACTCACAGAATTGCTCAATTGTCCACGTGCTGAATATTTGACTTTTGTCAGAGGAAACATGTCCATTTTGTTTTGACATCTGCAAGCTTTTTATCGCACTGAAGGTCTGTACCAAAGACTCCATTTTTGTGAGTAAATCAGCCTAAGAAAAAAGTAATACAACAAAACGGGCATTGAAAGACGAACAGTACAACCTGTGTTTATATAAAGTCCATCTTAAAGAAACGTTAATCCTCAGGCTATTAGAAACAATCATTGTGCTTGTGTACCTTGCCAAATCTGTTACAAAAAAATATAATTTCTTCACCTGAAAGATACACTTCGAGCAGTGTCCTTTTTTCTTTTGAGTCACGATAGATGGAGAGTGCATGTGAGATGAAAGAACAATAATGGAAGGCCCAAACAAGGAAAAGACGGTCCCAAATGTTTGTTTACAGGCTCTCACCCTGTCTCCAAACAGAAAGCCTGTTCACAGGCTACATACAACCCCATTACCCTATCAATGTTCCCTATATTGCTATTATATTTGGTAATACAGCAACAATATTTTTATCCATACCAAAGACCCATATATTCTGGGAAGTTCTTCGGATGCCTTTGAAATTTCTTCTTGAATTTTTATAGAGTCTTGATCATTGGAGACAACAACATTAGTGGCGTCCTCACCAGAATTATATCTGTACATGGAGATACAACGGGTATTTTAACAGAGACTGTGCACAGAACAAAAGAGATGCCACATAGTGGTCATGGAAGAACTAGCTTAACTAGGCTCGATATCCACCATATCCAGAGTCTGCTTTTTGATCCTCCCTGAAGAGAGGGAGAATGAGGGCAAGCTCATTTTTCTCAAACTGCAGCTGGAATTTGAGCCTATGGCTCAATTCACGGAGTGCGTGTGCGGTGGGAACCTTCAGTACTGAAACCAGAACCTGCGCATGAAAAGTCTCTTGCACCCTCCCCCCCCCCCACCCTCCACCCCCATCTATATTAGGCCTTCCAGTTGGATATAAGGTGAAATGAAAACACCCAGCAAAGCAAGCTCATACTTTCTCACCTACTCTCTCGCCTAAGTGCTGAATGTATAACCTGACCCCAGGTAGCAGCTCTCCAGGGCGTTCTGGCAGCGGGGTGGGTAAAAGAAGGAAAGCTTGCAACTACGTCTCTGGAATTTGAATTTCACCTCCAGTTCCCCTGTGGCTCTTCGTCGGCTCAGCTGTCATATGTCCACCAATCAGTGCAAAGCACAAATGAGCACAATGTGAACAAACATTGAAAAACACGTGCCAAGAGTAATGACATCATTCTAAATGTCATCTCTACCAATCAGCAAATCGCATCAACTTTTTTATGCAGATATTCAAATTCCAGAGACGTAGTTGCAAGCTCTCCTTCCTTTTCCCACCCCGCGACCATCGCCCCTGCCCCGAAACAAAACCCTTCACAGTCCGACAGTCAAGCAAATGCAGACTACGGACTGTAAGACTTGAAGGTAAAAAAGGTTAACTATTTCGTGAAATGCTCTGAAAACTATCCCTACCAATAACACTTGTAATTTTACTTTTAGTCTAAAATGTTTTGTACTTTGCTATTTTTAACTAGTCTGTTTATACACTGTAGTCCACTGGAGGAACAGGAAAAACTTGAGAAAAAATCTGACTGTCACAGCCTCAAACTTACTCTTTTTGAAGACGAAAATTCACCAATTTGTTAGCCACTGTGGTTCCCAACTCGTTCAGTTTTGACCATTTAAGTACGACATCGTGCCAACTTGCACAACAGTCTCTTACTCTTTTGGGAATTTCTGAGTAATTCTTGCTGGGAGATGCCTTCGGGGACGTTGATTGAGATGTAGCTCCCTTTTTAGAAGGTGTTTTGGTTGTTTTAGGAGATTTGCCTTTTTTCGGTGAAGGAGACGCCATATTGAGCTATAACCATATTGGACGTGAGCGGGAAGATGGTGGACTGGGTTTGAATTCGTGTTGCTTAGTGATTTGCGATTTCGTACTGTGTATATAGCAACACCAAGTGTATTTACATAGCAACCCCAATCGTGTGTATCACATAATCAAGGAACTGCTGGAGATCATTGTGCTTTCTGGTTACAACTCGTTGTAAACTGCATTGAATGCGGGAAAACTTTCAAACCTGGAGAAAGGGAACGAAATTTTTCGTCTGAGGTAAGCATTTTTTAAATATCTTCTGTGCTTTGACAGATTTTACGATCTGAAGTCAACGTAAGCTTAACGTTGGATTCACTACGAGCCTCAGCGCTCCGGAAGTTAAAAAATTCGTACCGTCTGGTTGCTATGAAGTGACGTAATCATCCAGTTGAGTATCCATCACCGTAACACTTTTGCGGTCAACTACCGCAGCGCTCGTTACGTGAGCCGTACATTTGTTGGATGCCGCGCTTTTAATTAAATTTCTCGCCCTAGAATGATGACATGATGGCGCGAAAATTGACGCCTCTATCGTATTAGATGCGAAATATGATCAGAGATAAATGGAATGGTGAATGTTACAAGCTTCTGAGTATCCAGCTGAGATAGGGGACTTTTAGTCCCCTATCTCAGCTTGATAAACAAAATTTTTTTGGTTGCTAAGACGGTGCGGCTCGTTATGTTATAATTTTGTAATCAATCAAAATTTTACCGTAATCGATGCTGAAGAACGTTAAAAAGATGAACATTCAGGCCTTCCTGGGTCTTCACATGGTTTAAAAATCAGCAGAATAACAAATATTTCAACAAAAAGTCCACTAAATATTTCAAAATGATCGCAAACTCTGATCACGGTCGACCCAATCTGATGACAAAATGGACGCTTATTTTTTTAAGGTTCATACGTGACGAAAAAAGTATCTTTTTTTCTTTGTTTCTTTGTTTAAAGAAAAATCGCATAAATGTTACTTTTTCCCATTGCCGATGAATAAACTTGATTATACTGGCGCTGTAGAAGAAGATGCCCGGCTTAATATGTTATGATTTTCGTGACAACATTATTCACATAAATATTGTTGTCACGTAGACCGGAAATTTTAAGAAAATCCTACAGTACAATTGTTTACATTTTACAAAGATTTGTTTGTATATTCACAGTGCAAGGCCTTGAGTGGTGACCAATATATATAAGTGAAGGTCTCTTTGTATCTGTCTGTAATCAATTCAAGTGTCTAAAACTGATGTAAAGAGTGATATAACTGGGCAATGAGAAAATTATGGTTCTTTTTTATACGATGTTGTTGTTGTTTTGTTGTTGGTAAAAACATTTCTCAGAAGAAGTGTTATAAATTTTGTTTTAACAAGAATGCATTAGACAGAAGGCTGATTTTCATGAAAATGGTTTGAAATAAGACCCTGTGCTTTATAAGTTGGTTTCCAACTGTCAGTATTGAAAGACTGCTCTTGCTAACTTATTATGTTAAAACCATTTTTTACCACAGATTAGTGAGGCCCTTCGATGGCGCAGACCCTTTATGACACCTCACTGACTCGATCTTTTCAAGGATATAAGAGTAATGCAGCACATTCATCTCTTGTTGATGATAAAATGAAGACAGCTTCTGCCAAACTTTCACATGTTAATTACAATATGAGCCAAGGAAGAAGTGCCCCAAAGCAGAGGCTATCTCGCTTGGAATTGCTCCGGAATGATTACAACAAGAAACTCCAAATGGAGCGAGAGGAGAAGATAAACAAGTTAAGGGTTATCCAGCGGGAAAATAGTGTTAAACAGCAGCATCCAAAAAGTGGTGGAGGAACAGTACGGGAATTCTTTGCAGAGCGGAGAGCACTGGAGGCTTCAAGACAGGGGCAAAAAAATCCTGAGTTGTTGCCTCCTATTGAGTCACATTTCAAATGGGTTAAGGAAAAAAAACAGGACGCGCAGTTGCATGGGCAAGCGAAAAAGGAGCCAGCAGCTCAACCTGTGCCAGTTGGCAGACGAATAAGCTTGAAGCACTCGGAAATACAGGTGCCACAACAAGCAGTACATGTACCTCTTAAACACAACACAAGAACTCAACCAAGGCAAGCTGGTGTTCTTGTAAGGAAAAGGACCAAGGGTATTGACAAACAGGATCCGCTTCCTCCAGTAAATAAAGGAGGTTCTGAAGTAGCTAAAAGAAAGCCACCAACACCTAATAAAAGATATGAGACACACTCTGTTCTGATGCAAGATGGTGAAGATGATTATGAATCTTCAGGTCCCTTTGTGCCTGTTCCCCCTATTCAAAGAAAACCAGTTGCAAAACGAACAAAAGTTCCTTTACCACCCCCTAGTGGTGAAGAGTCTGCTAGTGATTATGATGATGCACTCAGTACCCTTACAGATCACAGCAGTATTCCTCCAAATTTAAGCAAACTGAAAGCCAAAGCTCTTAGGCAAAGGCAACTTAGCAAACAAAAATTAAATGTCACAAATCTAGAGCAGGATAGTGGGAAGTTGACAGATTTCCAAAAATGGCAGATGGAACAGGATGCAGAGAGGAAAGAAAGGTTGGAAAAACACAGACAGAAGAATGAGAACTCTGAAATGTCTCTCTCTCAAAGAGAAAGAGAGCTCCTACAAAAGATTCAGGAAGAACAATCAAAACTTGCAAATTTGAAACAACAGAAAAGAGAATTGGAAGAGCAGGAGAAAAAACAAACGGAAGAGGATGAAAAGTGGTTGAAAGAAAAGCAAAGTATAGAGCAGTCACTTTTGCAACCACAAGAAATAACACATGTACAGGAGTCTAAACAGACTAGGAAAAAAGTGTCAAAAAAGATAGAGAAACCTCATGTTCACAAAACTTTACAAAAGGAGACACGGCCCTCTCAAGCACATGAAGATAGTGAAGAAAATATTCACGACAATGCACAGAGTAATTTCTATGCTGAAGTGACTGAAGACATGGGAGAAGTTGTAGTGGATGTATCACCGTGCTCAATCTGTGGGCGTAAATTTGCCCCAGATAGGTTGGCCAAACATGAAAAAGTGTGTGCAAAAACTGCAAACTCTAAACGAAAGGTTTTTGATACTAGTAAACACCGCAGCCTTGGGACAGATTATGAGAAGTATGTGCTGAGTGGAAAGCACCTGGAAGAACCTGAGAGAAAGGTGAGTTACCAGGAGCAACTAACGTATACAGGGTCATATTGTAAGGTCTTAAACAGAAGTTACTTGGTGGCTGATGAGTCATGAAGTGTTCGGTAGCAAGCTAGATGTTAAGTCTAAGTTTTAACGAACAAGTGAAGGTATATATTTTCTTAGTGGCTGGACAGTTCATCAGTCAGGCTAGTTTTAAAAGAAGAAAGGCATTCGTTTTAGTGACTCAGTAGCTCAGTGGCTCTTCAGTCAGGACTCCCGAGGGATACCATATGTAAGGATGTTTTATTTCACTGGTAAGCAGCCGAGCCACCCCAATAAACATACCTAGAAAATTGGCCCTGTATTTTGTTTTGCCCAAAACAACAATGCTTCAAATTGAGGTGCAGTGCTAGTCAGTGCTCCTGGTCTGTCCACTTTGAATATTAATGAATTTGATTTGAGTGGTTTAGCTCGATCTTTACTGTCCATAAACTGGAAAGGTGGACCTTAAAGAACTTGAAAAACAGCAATAAAGATATATATTTCCTTTGACTGACTGACTGACCAGGTGCTTTTACTTTCAGCCCAAGGTAGACTGGAGAAAACAGCATGAGAATTTCATAAAGGCTATCCGCTATGCTAAGGGAGTTAGTGACGAGCCACCACCCCCCACAGAAAACCCTGACTATGTACAATGTCCTCACTGCAAGAGAAAATTCAATCAAGCTGCAGCAGAAAGGCATATTCCAAAATGCAAAGATATTAAAGCCAAACCTTCACGGTTGCAAAAGAAAAGATGACAAGCAAAATATTGTGCATGTCAAGGTGTTAATTGTTAACGAAGACACTGGTTGCATTTTTGTGGTTCTTTACTGATCAAGTCTTGCAACACAAAGTTTAAGGCTTTGCATAACACCATGGATGCCAGAGCTTGGGAAAGACAGCAACAGTGATGCCATTTGCATTAAACTTTGAAACTCAAAAAAATAAAGTACTTCAGGCAAGTCCTACAGTTGCTGGCTTATAGATTATTTTATGCTTGATGGTTTGAATTGTTTTCTGTGCTGTATGACAGCAATAATTACTATGTACCTTAGGTAACAGCTATTAGAATTTTTAGAAAATACTAGTTACAACAATGTGGAAATGTAAAACATTTTTTGGGAAAAAAGCCAGCCAAAAAAATTATTATTTTGTGTGTATTCATAAAACTGGAATAAATCTTTTACAAACATAGAAGGAGTCATTTCTGTTTGTGTGTAGGTAAAACAATATAATTTATTAAAAATGATCTTAACCAATCACAAAGAGAGGGAACAAGCATTGTGATTGGTTTAACATTCTCCTTCTGCTACCAAATAAGCCTGAATTTCAGCCATCTCCCTAACTCAGGAGTTTGATACTCTGGGAAATGTTTGGGACTCAGACTACCTCCAACTGCGACAATTTGGTTTTCAATAGAACGCAAGTGACAGAGTCATACATGGAGTTGGAGAAAATTAACAAATCAACAAAATTCCATGATCAATACTCTTAACCATAGAAATGGAGATATAATGTTCAAAATTCAAGTGGAACCTCATGCACAAGCCACATGTTCTTCCAACTAGGATTCTTCCCTGCTGATGACTGCAATCATTATTTTTGATTTTCACTGGGCCATAAACACCCACAACTCCAAGTCTGGCTCTATCATGTGAAAACCAGCCTATAGTATGTGCCTGAGTGCACTATGGGATACCTCTTGGCAAGCCCTTACATGAAAAAAAAAGGATGAATCAAAAGTAGTGAAGCATGTACATAAAAAGCTCAACAATTCATCACAGTCAAAATATTTTAAAACACTTTTTAATGTTTCCATAGGCAAACAAAAACACACACTTGCCAAACTACAGTGTTGTAAGACCAACATGCATGTCTTGTTCCGAATAAATACTTCTCTAAGTTTCAAACTCTCAGATAATTTCCAACTCTTCTCTGTAGTTATAAAATACATATGTACAAAATATCTGTATAAATATACTTAAGTAGATAAATATTAAGTTTTCACGACACCAAATTACTAGTAAAGGAAACACTGTTTTGGCTCTTTTCACCCATTATTGAAGGAGACGTATTCTAGGAGATGTATTCTAGGCATTGAACTGAGAAAAGCGTCCCATCGAAGCACAAAGTTAATGTCAAAAATAAGACTATAAGCCAGGTTTTTTAGTGATATTTAAGTGACAAGATAGAATTCTTTTATGTAATCAAATAAAAACAGCATTCCGTAAAATTTTAGAATAAGTTTAAAGGACATAGTGCTTGTATAAGTCAGTGATTTGCAAACAGTAAAAAAAAGCCAAAACAGGTTTCCAGTTACTCTCTTTTGAAAAAAAAAATGCAAAGTAGTTTCACACATCATATCATTCAATAGTACTTGTTTGAAGAAACTACATGTCAAGAACAAAATGCATGGAATAGTTTTAAACCTCTAAGCCCTAATACTGACCGGTATGTCACTTCTCCTAATAATATTACAGCTAAATCAATCATAAAGGTCATGAGAATGTGGGAAATGATAATAAAAGATTAAATATGATACCTTTTTGTATTAGGGCTTAAAGGATTAATCTCTTTTGTATAATATGCATGTTGTGGTTTACTCATATTTCTCTGTGACACCAGTTTCAATTTTTCTTCCTTTTATGATTGTCACAGTGATACACATAGAATGAAGTAAAAATTCAAACTGGTTAAAAAACAAACACAAACCACAGCACACAAGACCATTGGCTATTTTCAAATCCCCCATTATACACTGTATTTGCTTCCCAGAACTTGCAAGTTTATTACAGAAGATTTGAAAACAGAGAATAGTTGTTATTTACTGAAAAAAAGTTGCTCAAACAGAAGATGAATTTTATCTTCAATGAAACTGCACAAAAATTCATTAACTGTCACAAAGGAATGAAAACAGCTTTCATTTAGTTGTTCTGAAAGTGTAGTTTCTTACATGAAACAAATGCCCTACAAAACAGTCCAACAAAAGGTATGAGATGTGAAAAACTGACTAGACAAAAAAAAAAAACATGTTTTTACACCCAGCCTACGTCCAAAGATCAAGAAGACAGTTTGATATTTCACACTACAACACGTAAAAAATACCAGAAAACCAGTAGAAACTTGCAAAAATTATTTGTCACACAGTAAATCTTGCAAAGATTTGTTCTCCATGTAAAGCCTGCTTAGATTAAACCTACGAGATACTACATTATGTCATGGTGTCTGTTTTCTACCAAAAAGAACTTCCAAGTACAAGAACAGTGCATTTTCAAGTTAAGGATAAAGGCAATAAAGCAACTACAGAAATTATCCTGAAAAAATGAAAATCATATAAAGATACTGCGAGGTGAAGAACTAGATGAAAAAAGATCATGAAAGTTATGGATGTGACTGGTAGTTGTGAAAAACAGCCCGGAAAAAGAAATTGTGTTTCATAACACACAGAACTGTTCTCTAAAAGAAGTCAATTTATGAAAACTACACTGTTGTCATAGAAAGGGGCACAAGAGGATTATCTACTCAAGACCAGTTTTGTGCCTCATTCGACTTGGACTTTCACATAAATGCTTACAACTTCATCTCAACAGTGCCACCTGGCTAAGGCGCCTACTTCAAAAGTTATTGAAACCTTTTGGGTACAGTGCAAATATAAAGGAAATCTGACTGATCCAAACTTGAACAAACACCTAACTGCAAATTAAGAACCTGGCACAACACATATACCTTATTCAACAATAAAACTAAGACCAGACTGTTTTCTAATTAATCATCTAGGATCTTTCATGATAAACTTAGAGAACCATCAAATTTAACCCCACCACACAGTCTTCTGAGCTATTCAAATATCGACAATCCCTCACAGAGAGCGATGGAAGCCCGCTTCCAACCTTTTTTGATGACCAAACAGCTTGCAGCCAACCGCAGGTCGTGCATATGCTCTAAATATAACTGGCGTGAGCCTGTTCCAGGCATTCACATAGTGGAGTGCAGCACGAAGTCAGAGAGTGTTGTTTTTTCTGCTTGCATCTCTTTGCGCAATCCCCACGATCTGAATGCCTGGAACAGGCTAACTTGGTGTGTATGAAAATTCCTTTGTTTTTAAACAACTCCCAGACACAAAAACCAAGATAGCAAGGCCATGAATCAAGGAATATCTTCAGTTGGTGAGCAGTGCTGTTGCTCTTACACCCAAAAGCTACATGTTCTTTGAAAACATTGGAAGAAAAAAAAAACTGTTGGTTCAAAACAACTTAACAGGTAAAGCTGCCATAGGTTCTTTAAAAGACAAAAGCAGTTTCCTCCAAAAGACCCAGCCTTAGCAATTTCTTTCTGTGATCAAAATTACTATTATCTTTGATAAAGACAGGTCATTAAAAACAATCAAAGCTGACAAAAATAACTTTGGACTTGCAATAAGTTCACAATTGCCATCAACTTCCACAAATAAGATAATTAAAGACATCAATTTACACACATACCTGACCAGCTGAAATAAATGAACTTACAACAGAAGAGTTCTACTCCCTTTGCACCCTAGCACAATTTTTTTCAGCTCCATTTAAACGTTTGTGTATGTGTGGATAAATTCTACAATCAAATTAAACCTCTTTGAGAGCCCTCCATCTTTCTTACCAATTTACACCATAAAACCTTACAATTGTCTTGTTGTACAACTTTTTCATTTCAGCACCCTAGGATGCACAAGGGTGGGCATAAATCTCTGCTGTCATTCAGCTGTTATTCTGTATAAAGTATCACGTTGCACAGTGACCAACACAAGACATGTTGCATGCAAAAACTAAGTTTAGATGTCTATCAAACTGCTCAAAGAACTGAGCAACCTTGTAATATGACAAGTATAATAAACGGTTGAGTATACAACTTTTCTCTCCAGTCTAAAAGGTACAAGCCATCAGTTCCTCGTCACTTCAGAGATATACTCTGCTACTTGTAGAAACAAGTCGTTAACTTACAACAACCACGCATGGATCCAAGGTCTCTGATAACTGGCCGTGAAATGCAGAATCATTGTTGAATCCTCCATAACTGGCTTAAACATCTAATCTGTACTTGCCAGCATCAGTTTAAAAGCTGGATAGGAGTTCAATAAGCAAAGCCCGGTTCTTCAACTGGTGCTAGACTAAACGATGGGTTCATCTGCATTGTAGGAATGGGTCTAAACGCCAACACAGCAGGATCACATGAGCGACTATGTCTAGGGTTAGATATACTCTGCAAAGATCAAAGTAAAATGAAAGAATGTTAATATCACACACACCAAGAGAGAATAAAGGGACAGAGGTCAAGGTAATTTTAGGCCGTTGGCCGGGATATGTGAATTTCACTTGAGTTATTTTAAGAGGTTGTAAAATTACTGGGCATCCACAAATTTTAATTGATTGTTGGAAACATCACGAAGTACACACATAGCCACCTCAAAGTAAAAATTCAGATTATTGCCATGACGACTGTTGACTTCTCTCTTGACAATAGTGAATGAAAGTTTCCGACCTCCCCGGAAACCAACTTGTGATTAATTCAAGCCTTTAATTGGTCTAAAAATAATTTTGGTGAAATTCACATGTCCTGAGGGCTAGACGGGGCACTTGTCCCATTATTTTTCTTGTACACATTTTACATTTGTGGATACGACACCCATTTACAGGGTAAATACTGTGAAGTCTTAATAAGTACTGTTCCCCTCTTAAAGAAGATGGAATGTATATGTACAGTCTGGAGGCCCTGGTAGGGTAAATTTCAACAAGCGACATGGCCTTGAAACAGCGACATGGGGCAGGAGAAATAGCAAAAAACGACACAAAGATGGGTTGAAACTACAACAGCGATAGAGAAAAGCGCAAAGACAATGGTAAAATATAGACAGCAACATGGCTTCCTCCTCAATACATGAAACTACACGTTTTGAAATTCAGACTAGGCACATAGAGGGCCCCAGTCTAAATGGGTATAGCTTGA